AATGATCATTCACACTAGGAAGAAATTCTGTAAACACGGTGACATAGTCAGTTGAAGCTCCAGCTTCATTAAAGAAGAAAGCTGCTCCAACAATGCAGAAACCTTGTGAATGGCCAGGGTACACAGATAGTGGTAGCCAAAATATTCAAGGAAAGAGATCTACGAACAGAGAGAATCTCTCTCCTTCTCTACTGTTCACCCTGAAACTTCATCCCAAGAGTACTGGGGCACTGGAGCTGACTGCAGGATCTCATTCTGCTGGCTGCTAGAGACTGGCCCTAGCAGGGGCTAATAACTTCGAGGATTTCAACCCCGGCCAGAGTTGGTCCAAACTTACCTTTGACACTTAGTAGTGGTGTATGCCTGTTACTTTTACTTAACAGTAACCAGATTGTCTAGTACAGATGACCTAAAGGGAGACTATTCATCTTGGCCCACAATTTCAGAGACTTTTATTACATCCAAGCAGACACGACATAACAGGGTATGTCTGACCAAGGTGATGGGGATGAGGTGGAGGCTCTTCACACTGTGGTAGACCAGGCAGCAAAATGAACTGGAATTAGGGGTTGGGTGTAACTTTTGAAAGCTCAGCCCTAGCGCCTACTTCTACCCACTAGGTCCCATCTCCTAAAGGTTCTGCACCATCCCAAAATAGTGCCACCAGCTAGAGAACAAGCAACGAGTCTATGGATGACAGTTCAGACTCAAACCATAACATCCTACCCCTGGACATTTCAGAATGCAAAATGAATTTAGTACAACTTCAGGAGTCCCTAAAATCTGCAGGAGGGTGGCAAGGAAATACTAGATCCAAGTGAGACTGAAGCCAGTGGGGTAGATGATAAATCCTGTAGCTCCTTGTCCAGCATCCCAGGCATGTAGTGGCACCATCTGAACTTTACAGGTTTGGACATTGTCTTAGCTGGGGTTTCTACTGCTGTGAAGAGACACCATGACCAGAGCAATTCTTTAAAGGAAAACATTTCATTGGGTGGCTTACAGTTTCAGGGGTTTAGTCCATTATCATCATAGTGGGACATGGCTAAGTGCAGGCAGACATGGTGCTAGAGAAGGAGCTGAGAGTCCTACATCTTGATCCACAGGCAACAGGAAGTGAACTCTGTCACTGGGCGTAGCTTGAGCATAGGTGATGTCAAAGCCACACACTTCCTCCAACAAGGCCACACCTAATAGTGCCACTACCTATGAGCTTCTAGGAGCCCATTACATTCAAACTACCACAGGCATACCTACCCCTATGGTCTTCTTACTTGTACTATAAATGGATTCTCTCTTGGGCTGGCTTCACTAGGTGCCTGCAATTTTTTTATCAGATGCCACACATTTATGGCATCTATATCTTGAGGTTTCTTATTATTTACCTTTACAGTTTCATGCACTGGCCTCTCAGGGATTCACTGGAGGATTCTGAGCTTGCTACATATACCTGGCCTCCCAGGATTTCCTTAAACATCTGGGTGCAAGCTTCCATGATCACAAAACTCTCATTCCCTGTGCCTACAAAATCTATGCAAATGACATCAGGTTCCACTGTCAGGTCCAATAGTATCCAGGCTCCCTTGGGCCTCTGCTGAGTTCCTAGATAGCATAACCCGGGAAGACACTTTCGTAGGTGGCCATGTTTGAGTGTGACAGCCTTTAAGCTCTATCTTTTTTAAAAGAAAATCTTTCAGGGCTGGAGAGTTGGCTCAGCAGTTAAAAGTGCTCACCATTCTTGCAGAGGACCCAAGTTCAATTCCCAGCACCCACATCAGGTGACTTACAACACCTGTAACTCCAGCTTCAGGAATCTGAGATCTCTGTCCTCTGCACACACACTGGTGTGCGTGCATGCACATACACAAACACAAAAATAAAAATAAAACTTTAAAAAAAGAAAAGGAAGTCTTTCAAATGGTTTTTCCACTTTTTTGCTCTGGATCAGCCTTTGATGGATGGAGTCTCACCCTCCAGGCACCTTTCCTATTGTTCCAGTGAGAAGAGTACAGTTTCTCTTCTATGGCACTGATCTCTTTAACAATTATAGCCACTTTGTCTGCACTTGATTTGTCTGCAACTTTAAACAATCCATGGTCTTTCCCTAGCCACACTGGACTCTTTTTTTTTTTTTTTTTTTTTTTTCTTTTCGAGACAGGGTTTCTCTGTGTAGCTTTGCGCCTTTCCTGGAACTTGCTTTGTAGCCCAGGCTGGCCTCGAAACTCACAGAGATCCACCTCGCTCTGCCTCCCAAGTGCTGGGGATTAAAGGCGTGAGCCACCACCACCCTGCCACACTGGACTCTTATATCTTTCTGCCGGTCTTTTTGTTCCTGATTCTCACTGTAAACCTGACTAAAACCTGCCAGAACTAACCATGCCATGACCTGTCTTGAAAGTTCTACCAAATGAATTAGTCTATTACTTTTCAGTCCAGTCCCACTCACAATTTCAGGACTTAAACAGAACATAGCCAAATTCTTTGCCACGTTGGACATTGTTGTGGGATATTTGTTTACACTGTGTGAAGCTGTGTCACTGTGATTGGTGTAATAAAGAGCTGACTGGCCAATAGCTAGGTGGGAGAGAATAGGCGGGACTTCCAGGCAGAGAGAGGAAGTCAGAGGGATGAATTTAGGCCTGAGACGCCAGCAGGACAGAACAAGTTGGACATACGAGACAGAAGAAAGGCAACTGAGACACTTGATAAAATGTAGATCAATAGAAATAGGTTAATTAAGTTATAAGAACTAGTTTTTAAAAAGCCTAAGCTAAGGCCAAGCTTTCATAATTAAGTCTCTGGTCATTATTTGGGGGCTGGCAGTTCTGACAAGAAAGCTTACTACAGAACATACTCCATTTCTCAATGGAATTATTACTATCAGAAACCTCATGAGCTATCTTTACTGTCTACATATTGATTGGTGTTTCTAGTCTTCCAAACTTCCACCAAAATAGCCCATTGAGTAGAGTTTACAATAGTGTAGCATTTCCTCAGCCTTCATCTTCCAGCTCTTCCTTATTCTCCCCCCAAACCACTTCCAAAGGCCTACTTAACACATTGCTAGATTTGGTCACAGAAATTACCCTACTCTGGTACCAATTTTCTATGTTAGTTACTTTCATGTCTCTGTGACCAAAATGCCTGACATAGTCAACTTCAGGGAGAAAATGTTTATTCTGGTTCATAATATCAGAGTTTTGGTCCATCAGAGGGGGAAGGGCATGGTAAGCAGCAAAAGCATGGAGCAGAGGCTGTTCACATCACAGCAGACCAGGAAGCAAAGACAGATTAGCCAGACTCAGAGGCCAGGTGGTCACCTTCAAAAGCTACCTCCTCCCATCCACTAGCTTCTTTCTCCTAGGAGTCCTGCCGCCTTCAAAGACAGGGCCACCAGCTATTGGCGGGAACAGGTGTTCAACACAGATTCATCTGTGGGTGACCTTTCAGACTCAAACCATAACACTGTTAGCTTGGGTGGATCTAATACTTACGCTGAACCTCATTCTTAAATTATTCATCCAGTTATTTATCTTATTTATGTGTGCAAATGCTGTACATTTGCCTGTGTGTGTATATGTGTGTGCTACATGTGTGCCTGCCGAGGTCAGAAGAAGGCATTAGATCCTTAGAGCTGGAGTTACAGATGATTGTGAGCTACCAAGTGGGTGTTGGGAGCTGAACCCAGATCCTCTGCAAGAGCATCAATTGCTCTTAACTCCTGAGCCATCTCTCCAGCCCGCCCCCCCCCCAGCCTCATTTAATACAAAATGAATAAATAAATAAATACCTCATTTAAGATGTGGTTAACATTAGTAATTGCTTCCTGGGTGTCCTGAGACTTAAATGAGAGGACAAAGGTAAAGACCTGGCAAGAACACAGTGAACATATTGGCTTTAGTTTGGCTCAGCCATTTCCCAGAATCCACAGCTCAGTGTACCCCAAGACCACCTGTTGGGGTATAAAGTGGAATTTGCCTGCAACTGTTTGAAGGACGACTCTGATACGATGGGGCTTCTTTAAGGTTTAGGAGCCTCCCAAGTGGCTATAGAAAATGAAGCACAGAGTCTTCTCCAAGGTCCCCTGGAAGACATACGAGTGCTCTCCTCTCCTGTCCCCGTCTTCCGAGTTTCTTTGAGTATCAGATCTCATGCTAACCTGAAGAAGGCAAACCGAAGCAGAGGTCAGGTCTGCAGTTAGGTGGTCACAGAACTTCACAGGTACATCCGGTTACTGGAGAGAACAGCCTTTCTTTTGCAGAGGACACAGGACTGCCAGATTCAGCACATCAAACAGACTGCTCAGTCAAAGTTGAATTTTAGATACACAACAATGGCAAAACGTTTTATCACCAGCATCCTCCAAGACTGCATGGGACTTACTTTAAAATTCTAACTTACCTGGATTCCCCCGTAACAGGCTTCTTGTGACAACTCAATCGCAAATACATGGGCCTCAGGATTTGTATTTTGGTTGGCTGGTTTGGGATGGTTGTTCTGTTTTAGTTGTTGGTTTTTGTGGTTGTTTTGTTTTGTGTGACACTAGGTACTGAAACTAGGGCTCAGCTCGGAGCCTCAGATCCCTGTTTCTCAGACTTGGATCAGCTGATTATGTATAGGGATGGGGAGGATCCTGCGGCTTACCTCCAAATGACAGCAATGGACAGGCCAGACATTTAACCGCTTCTAAGGGTTGGTGTCTTACCTATCGGCCTATTTCCAAAGGATTACTTTACCCATTTATCCAAAAATGCTGGGCACGTTTTGTGTTTCTTCTGCTTTTATCTTGATCCATGAGGCACAAGAGGAGCGGTTGGTTGTGCATCTTACCCCATTTTCCACCCCAATCCGGGAGGAGCTCCGGGCTAAACTCCTAGCCTGGCCCACGGAGCCAGACCCGGTTTGTCCCAGCTGATTTACGGGAACTCACACTAGTGATCAATCATCCTTAATTTTTAACTGGGCAGTGTCCTGAACCAGCCAATAGCTGAGCCTGGCCCCCGACACCCCACCCTCACTGACCCTCTGCGACTGTCCACTCAGTCCGCCCTGAAGCTGCCTAGTGACCAAGAACTTGGGACCAGGTTTTGTAATGGGGGCTCTTGGGGAGGAACACAAAGTCATGAGGGCTTGGCAGGGAGGTCTCCAGCCCCCTTCGCCCCCACTTTCCAGCCCCTTGTTTGTTATCTCTGCCGTTTCCATGGGCCTGCTATCTCTTGAGCCTTCTGCCTCCTCCTCCTCCTCCCTTAAAGCTGTGCTGCCCAGCTCGCCCTGGCCCTCCTCTCCTGCTGCCCCTGGCTTATTGTTTAGTTAAGCGGGACCCGGGAGATTGAACAGATGGACTGAGACCCAGGCGTGAAGGGAGAGAAGGGCCAGCCGGTGCCGGGAAAGGGAAGCGGTTTGGGGAAAACAAAACAGAGGGTGGAGCCAGGGAGAAGGTGGCCCCAGAGGGAGGAGGCGGGAACACACTAAGAAGGGTCGAGGCCTGGAGCGGAATGGGGGCGGGCCCGGGGATGGGGTGGACCCCCCTGAGCTCCTAAGGCTCACGGCTGGCTCTGAGGCTAACTGGCTTCGCAGGTCGCAGCTGACGTCGCTGCCCAGATGGCCTCCAGGCTGACCCCGCTGACCCTCCTGCTGCTGCTGCTGCTGCCTGGGGTAAGTGGTCCCTCTGTGAGGTGGGGGGTGGGGGGGTGGTGAGGATTAACCCTTCAGGCCCTGGCGAAGAAGGAAAACTCCTCCAGGGATTCTTAAGTTCAGGTCTAGCCGTTGCATAGGAGGAGAGACTTGGGTTCTATATTGGAAGATACATTAGCTGAATGGCCTTGGGCTGGACCCCTCTCCAGGCTTCCTTAACCCAATTATATAAAAGGGAGAATACTCCACCCAGCTCACCGGCCGGGCTTGGCTGGGTCATAGTAGGCAGGACAAGCCCAAGTTGTGGAAACCTGCCTCCCCCACCCCCCACCCCCCATGCTGTTGTGACAGGCTCTTCCAGGTCACGGTCTATAGAAAGTGGGGTGCAAGGAAGAAGACTAGCATCCAGACAGACCTGGGCTCGCACCAAGGTGAACAGCACTGTGGTCCCAGTGGCCTAGGAAGGCAGGGATAAAAAGTAAACTCATGTGAGAGTGGGCGCTTGCTTCCGGTGGATGAGCGGGGTGTAATGCTGGAAAGCTGGCATCCTGGGTGACCTTGGGGAGTCAGCACATGATGTCTGATTGAGCAAGGGATCAGTATTTTATACACTTTCCTTCCCGCTTCTGAAAACATTGCCGCATAAAGAGATCCTCCTCTCTCCACCTCCCAGATGCCTAGATGACTGGAGTTACAGGTCGTGCCACTGTGCCTAATTTATACCCATTCTTCCTTTCCTTTACTGGTGTACTAATTGTTTTCAATACCCACTGGTATACCACATCTGCAGTCCTAAAATAAGGCTGGCAAATGCAAATGTCTATATTACCTGGGCAAGTGAGTCAAAACAAGTATATAATTACAAGAAAGCAGCTTCTCCTATGGCCGTCACTGGACACAGATAACTGACAACCGAATTGGAATTACCTCATGTCTCCTGTAGAGAATTTCCCCAGCATTCCCTATTTTTGAAGGAATTGTGGGGATGGCTCAAGGCAGGCCCTTCACCTGCCAGGCTATACCAAAAGCAACTGGTACAATGTGTTCACAGTCTTCCTGCTTGGAGTGGTTGAGGGAAATATGGCTCACTAAGAAATGAAACCCTGTTTCTTGAACCACAGGATAGAGCTTTCTCAGGTCCGGAAACTACCAGCCACAACACCCAGGATCCACTGGTCACTCAAGAGGCAATCAGTGAAGTCTTCCCTGAAAAAGATGAGCCCTTGAATCTCACTGAGCATACACCACAGTCTTCTACCTGGCCAACAACCAATGTATCCACCAAAGATACAGCTGACACTGTATCCACCAAAGATACAGCTGACACTGTATCTACCAAAGATGCAGCTGACACTGTATCCACCAAAGATGCAGCTGACACTGTATCCACCAAAGAAGATACAGCTGACACTGTATCCACCAAAGATACAGCTGACACTGTATCCACCAAAGATGCAGCTAACACTACGCAAGCCTTCCTCAAGCACACCCAACCAGCTGAGCAGCTACCCACAGCGTCTCCCAGCCAGCCCACTATGAATTCTTCCAGCCAATCCCCCGTGGATCCTCCCAGCCAACCTTCCACAACCACAGATTCTCCCACCCAGGCTCCTGCTGAGCCCTTCTGTTCAGGGCCACTTGCTCCATGCTCTGATTTTGACAGAGAGTCCTCAGAGGCTACACTGTCGGAGGCCTTGACAGATTTTTCTGTGAAGCTCTACCACGCCTTCTCAGCTACTAAGAAGGCTGAAACCAACATGGCCTTTTCCCCATTCAGCATTGCCAGCCTCCTCACCCAAGTCCTTCTTGGTAAGACTCTGACTTCTGTCTGTACATGGGACCCTTTCATAGGAATCACCAATCACACATCTCTGCGAGGCTATGTCTCTGGAAAGAAGCTGTAAAATGGGCTACGTGGTGGGGTGGTAGGTCATCATTCTTGAATGTTGCTTTATTTAATAATGATTTAATTAGGTACTGTTGCTTATAAAACCCTATGGACTTATTAACAACATATAAAATAAGGTCCCAGTCACCAGTCATGGTTCAAAGAGTGGAAGGTGATAAGGGAGATGAAATCATCAGTGGTAGACCTAAGACAGAATCATGGTAATGCACTTTCTAAGTATGCAGCCATGGGCAGTTCACTTAGGCGCTCTTGAGTGTGAGTTCTCAACAGTTAAGTAGGGATAGTGATATCTACCTCCAAAAGCCAAGAATCAGACAGTGTAGTGCCTTGACTCCCTAGGAGGTAAAAAACCTTCTCCCTTCATGAGAATGATTCTGCTAGGAAAGGCAATGACAAATTACCACAGGCAGTAGAGAGAGAGAGATGAAACCTCTCATACCCCAGCAAGGAAAATTCCAGGAAGGCTCCTCGAGACTACACATACAAGATCCCAAATCCTAACATCTTAGCATGAGATGCTGGTAGCGCCCAACTCCCCAGGTATGGCAACCAGACTGTCCTCAGACATCCTCAAAGTCTCCTGGGAGGTCCTTTCTAGTCAGTTGGTTCCCCTTCGTTCATTTCCGTTCAAATCCTGCATTCATCTTTCACTTATTAGCTCTGTGGCCTTGAATGTATTAATAAGACAGTCTCTGAAACTCCAGGGGCCCCCTCTATATGGTAGGAAAGTGAGTATCCTATGGAAAAGGCTTGGTGATAATTTAATAAGATAACCATAGGAGAAACATTAGACTACCTGAACTAGAAGAAATGCTCTCAACAAATTTTAGCTGTTGTAGCAGAGAAGACATGCACAGTAAGTGTTTAATAATGAAGACTATCCATCCTCTTTTACAATAGTGATCAAATGCCTCTGCTTATAGGATGACCCTTTGTAAATCCAAGGCATCTAAATCAGAGTTAATGTGGAGCAGTGGTTAGAAAGATGTGTGGGATTTACAAAGGTGGAAAACCAGGGAAGGAGAATAGTTGAAGCCCTGGGGAAGTCTAGTAGGACAACTCAGCACGGCCCACCACCTTCTTCCTGACACATGAACTGTCTTCCAGAACACAGTTCTGATGCCCTGAAACCCCACTGTAGGGGGGAAACAGCCTCCATTCCAGCCAGTGCTTGACCCTAGTCCCAAGTAGTGGCTCTCTCGTTCCTCCCCCAAGAACTCTTCTCTCTCTCTCTGTCCTCTGTTGCAGGGGCTGGAGACAGCACTAAGAGCAACTTAGAGAGCATCCTTTCCTACCCCACGGATTTTGCCTGTGTCCACCAGGCTCTGAAGTCCTTTTCATCCAAAGGCGTCACTTCTGTGTCGCAGATCTTCCACAGCCCAGGTGAGTGTCCAAGGCAGACAGTGAGCTGTAGAGGATTCTGGAAGAGAAAGCCTGCAGAGGGGGGGGGACTGTATTGGGGTGCGTAAGAGCAGATGGGGACCTCAGCAGGAGTTTCAAGTGGCTCCAGGTCTCTCCTCCCTGTGAGACCTGGGCAAATCATTTGCATTTGTCTGTTCTTTAGAATAAGAAAGTCCTACCTAACTGTTAACAGCAGGGCTGGAAACCTCTAGAGGTTAGAAGGTTAGAGTTAGAAGCATAAAATAAGCAAAAGATTTTTTTTTTTTTTTTTTTTTTTTTTTTTTTTTTTTGCTAAGTTTTGGGTCCAGGGAGTCTTCAGACTCATCCTTTGTACTTTTGTGTTCTATGAATTTGTTATCATTTACGTGTTTATGTTAGGTAGATAATACCAGCCAGCAGTAGATAATAGTAAGAACCTTTACAAATAGTCGGACGCAGTTGTTTGTAAACTTGGTACCCTAGAGCTGACTATTTCTGCACAGCTGCTCAGGAGTTGGTAGGGGTGGGGCATCAGAATGGCTGGTGGGGGTGGGAGATGCCCTTCCTATGAGAGGGAAGTGGACCAGCCGGGCTCAGTGCTCCCGCCTGCCTCGCCAGAGCCCATTTATGACTTAGAAAATACAGCTCTGTTGCTTTCAAAGGTTAAAAATCATAGATTTCATCTAGTCCCTCTCTTGGGTTTTTGCCATGTTGCCAAGGCTGGCTTCAAACTCCAGTTCTCCTGCAGCCCCAGCCTCCTAAGTGCTGGGGTTACGCACTACCTCATGTGGCTTGATCCCTATGCCCACTTTCTCTTTCAGTTTTCCCTTCTTACTTTTATAAGAACACATTTCCTCCTGTCTTTCCTTCCTTCTCTGAGGTACGTGGGATTAGACCCCGGGCTCTGTGCATGCTGTATAAGCGCTACCACTGAGCTACATTCTCAGCCCTCCTCCTCAGTTTACTCATTTCCTGAGGGAGCCTCTCTTTGTAGCCTCAATTTTTTTTCTTCTTTTCAAGACAGGGCTTCTCTGTATAACAGCTCTGGCTGTCCTGGAACTCGCTCTGTAGACCAGGCTGGCCTCTGCCTCTGAGTGCTAGGATTAAAGCCTCACTTCTGTGGCAGTTCTCTGGTCCAGCTTGCTGAGATTGTAGACATGTGCTATCATGCTTGGCTTTGGTTTTTTTTTTTTTTTTTTTTTAACTATGAAAGCCATATTTGTAGAAAACTGTGAAAATACAGGGAAGGAAAAATAAAGAAAAAGGGAAAGGAGATTGCCTAATATTTCAATCTCCGCCACCCACCCCACTTGACGGGATCTCACTATGTAAACTATGCTGGCCTTGACTTCACAGAGATCTCATGCCTCTGCCTCCCAAGCTTTTGGGTTAATGGCATGCTCCACCACACCTGACATTAAAATGTATCTTTGTTTGTTTGTTTTTGTTTTTGTTTCTGGAGACAAGGTTTCTCTGTGTAGTTTTTGGTGCCTTTCCTAGATCTCACTCTGTAGACCAGGCTGGCCTCAAACTCTCAGAGATCTGCCTGGCTCTGCCTCCCAAGTGCTGGGATTAAAGGCGTGGGCCACCACTGCCTCCTGGCTAAAATGTATCTTTTTGACATGAATATATATATATATATATATATATGACTCAGGGGTTTCAATACATACTACATTACTTATCTACTTACAACCAGTGGTGTCTTTTTTTCAGTTAATGGTCAATTCCACCACATTCAATATTTTAGGGCATCCTGCATCCTGCCCACCCACATCCATATTTCTGCAAAGGTTCTGAGTCTTAGGCCAAGCCTGGGGAAATACTTTGATCTATTTAGTTCAGTAAAACAGTCTATTCTTCCAAGCACTCACATTTTCTCCAGTAGACTTGGGCCATGAGAGCAAAAGTCAGGAAGTCTTGTCATGAACTTCCACTGAGGCTTAAAAAGTAGGGTCTGTTCCTGCAGAATAAGGAAAGAACAGAGGGGAAAGTCAAGTGCAAGCAACATCACAGAAGGTTGTCTAGCCACGCACTAGTCACCAGCAAGCAGAAGCAGCAGGGGTGCCTAGGAATAGTTTTGCTGCTCTTAGTTCAGGATTTGTTTTAAGTCTGATTTGCATATAATAGATTTTGCACATCATAGAGGAGTGGGCTGGTCCCTGCTCCAGCAAAATGCTAGAGTGTTCACTGGAGTGAGCAAGAAGAACCACGGGAACCCCGACAGATGTGATGGTCTTTAATCTCTGCACTCAGGAAGCAGAGGCAGGCAGATCTCTGTCAGTTCCAGGCCAGTCTGGTCTACATGAGTTCTAGGCTAGCCCTAGCTGCATGGTGAGACTCTGTCTCAAAAAAAACCAAACAAGCAAAACTAATAAAACACATGGGAAGTGTGCTCACTCCCAGACTTGCTCTTTGAACTTGGGTTGGATTATTCAGAGGACTCATACTTGCCTCTCTTGTTCTGCCCCTCAGACCTGGCCATAAGGGACACCTATGTGAATGCCTCTCAGAGCCTGTATGGAAGCAGCCCCAGAGTCCTGGGCCCAGACAGTGATGCTAACTTAGAACTCATCAACACCTGGGTGGCTGAGAACACCAACCACAAGATCAGCCAGCTGCTAGACAGCCTGCCCCCCGACACCCGCCTTGTCCTGCTGAACGCTGTCTACTTGAGTGGTAAGGAAAGCAGCAGGCAGGTAGTGTGCCTAGTGCAGTCCTGCCTCCCATCCCATCCTGTCTCCACATTCCACCAACCTCAGAGTTCCACGGCCACATTCCTATGTGACCATCCTACCTCTTCCCTAACAGGGCCTTTAACACCTTTTTGTCCCTACCTGCGTTACAGCCACCCTTTCTTCCTTTAGCCAAGTGGAAGAAAACATTTGATGAAAAAACAACGAAGGCGTCTTTCCTCTACAAAAACTCTGTGATTAAAGTGCCCATGATGAGTAGCAAAAAGTACCCTATGGCCCATTTCAGTGACCAGACTTTGAAGGCCAGGGTAAGTTCTTGGCTCATTCCATTCCTGCTTCAGACATATCTGAGTGTCCTGACTTCCTTACTACAATGGCCTTATCAGTATGGGGTGCCTGCTTGCAAATTCCCCATTTCTGTTTCTTCCATCTGGTGGCCCCACGCTCTTTTCTCCTTCTCCTCTCTCTAGTTTTGGAGGCAGGGAATTTTAGGCTGGAAGACATGAGTCTAGACACGATTCTAAAGTTTCTTCATTCATCTCCACTGCATCAAATGGCAAAAAGTGAGTCTTGTTTTAATTCTGTGCATCTCTTTCTCTTAGCAGCCACCACTCTGGGTACACTGGTAGCTTGCTATGTCTTCTGTGTGTGGACACTTTATACAGTATGCATATGCATAAGTATACTTATAGAAGTATTGCTGTGTAGGTGCAGATATGTGTTAAGTATATGTAAACACAGGTATTAAATTTATTTAATTCTTTTTGTTGTGTTTTGGTTTTTTGTTTTTTGGAGATGAAGTTTCTCTGTGTAGCTACTGGCCCTCATAGGAACTCATTCTGTAGACCAGGATGGCCTGGATCTCAGAGATCCATCTGCCTCTGCCTCCCAAGTATTGGGATTAAAGGTGTGTGCCACCACAACAGGCTGAATTAAGTTCTTTAGCAGAAATTGAACAATATAATTCTAGTTGTTACAGAGGGAGGAAAAATAGAATATGGAGCCCAAGCTAGGCTTCCTGGTGCATGCCTTTAATCCTCGCTTTCTGGAGGCAGAGGCAGATAGTGTTCTGTGAGTTCAAGGCCAGCATAGTCTTCATATCAAGTTCCAAGATAGCCAGGGCTATATAGTAGAAAGGCCCTGTCAAAAAAAGGAGACAGCCAGGTGGTGGTGCATGCTTTAAACCCCAGCACTCAGGAGACAGAGGCAGGTGGATCTCTGTAAGTTTCAGGCCAGCCTGGTCTACAGAGCAAGTTCCAAGACAGGCACCAAAGCTACACAGAGAAATCCTATCTCAACAACAACAAAAGAGACAGGAAACAAAGAAAGAAGAAAGAAAGAAAGAAAGAAAGAAAGAAAGAAAGAAAGAAAGAAAGAAAGAAAGAAAGAAAGAAAGAAAGAAAGAAAGAGAGAGAAGGAGGGAGGG